AAATTAAAGTTCTGGAACGAATAACATACATAAAATGCCTTAAATTATGCATTTAGCAGAATGATATTGAATAAATTGCACAGCTCAAATCAAATTAGAAATTCAACTTTTTTAGATTGCTATCATTCATAAATTTTCTTTTCATAAACAAAGAAATAAACTAGTACATTATCAAATTGATCAATTATAATCATATATTATTTCTTATCGATTTTCAATATTCTAACTAAGACTGCAGATGTTCTGGCAACCCTTACTTCGTCTTATATGTATACGAGTTTATTGTTTTTATAAAAACACAGAATACTCTGAAATATTTTATCATAGTATAAAGCAATAATTATTAGAATTAGAATTTTCAAAAATTCAGCTAATTAGATTTTGCAAATTTAGTTTTGGTTTATACAACCTTACTTATATTTGTAGTTAAGACCATAAAGTCAAAGACAATTGCGCCTAATAAATTATATTAAATGGATAAAGCATTAATCAAACAGATATCATTTTGAAAAGAATAATATGGTAAATAATAGTATTCTTTAATAATAATCACTTCTTTTATTTATAATCTTTCACTTAATCTTCCAAAATCAAACTTCCTTTTGATTTGAATAGTAATAATAAATCTTTTCCTTAATAATTTATGAACTCTCCTTTTAAAATTAAAGCTCCTTACATTTCTAATATAAGACTCTGGGATATTCGAAGTATGGTAAAATCAAAGTTACCTAAATATAAATGAGCAATAATTACTATTTTTTATAATAGATGTGTTGGAAAGCTACCTTTCCAATGCAGTGTAAAGGTCTTAGTAAAGAATATCTTTAGGTAGAATTTCTTTTGCTGTTTAAACATTCCATAAATGAATAGAGTTATCAAAATGACAACATGCTAATGTAGTACCATCAGGAGAGAAACAGGTTAATTTAACATAGTTACTATGACCATCTTATTTGGCATTGAAAGATTCAGTCTTAACATCCCATAGATAGACAGACTTATCTGCACTACCAGATCCTAATTTAGTACCATCAGGAGAGAATTAAACTGATTGTACTTAACTACTATGACCATCTAATTTAGATTTTTATTAGCCTGTCTTAACATCCCATATACGGATTGAGCAATCTCCACCGCCGGATGCTAATAGAGTACCATTAGGATAGAAACAGACTGAATTAATCCAACTATTATGTCCATATAATTTGGCTTTTTATTATCCTGTTTAAACTACCCATAAACAGATAGACTAATCATTACTACCAGATGCTAATATTAACCCAACCATTATGGCCATATAATTTGGCTTTTTATTGTCCTGTTTAAACAATCCATATATAGATAGACTAATCACTACTACCAGATGCTAATGTAATCCCATCAGGAGAAAAACATACAGAATTAACAGATAAATAATGACCATATAATTTGGATTTTTATTATCCTGTCTTAACATCCCATAAACGGATAGAATAATCNATAACTAACTACTCCCTTTATTGATTATTTTTAAAAATATTATTAAGATTCCCAAATTAATATTTGAGAAATCATTTAAACAAAATTTAAAAGATATAATGTAATGAAAAATACAAAAATTAATAATTAAAATATATTTGTTTGTTTTACATACCAATTAAATTTGACATAAGTTGTATATCTCTTGATTTTTCAAATTTTGAGTATTTCCTATTCTTCCCCATAGCATTGATAAAATAAATGAGGATTTCAAAGTAATGTAAATTCTTTAGGTGATAATATTTTAATTAACATAAATAAAAAGTGTTATTCAAAAAAAAAAAATCAAAAATATTGTATATTTTATTACTTGCTTATATTTTAAAAATTCAAACTAAAAAATGAACACTCGTTAATTAACTTATTTTAAATTGCATCTTATCGCATTGTTGATTTTAATTTTTTAATTAGAAAAGCTAAGAAATCTTCATTATTCATATTGTTTTTTGGTCATGGATTTTAACTATTTATTCTAATAATAGATAAGTCATTAACTTGTCCATTATCATTTCTGCTTTTTTCTGGATTTTCCTCCCTTTTTGAGGTTTATTAATCATATCAACAAAAAAAAGATAATATAATTGAGATATCAGAATAGTAGTATCATATTGATATTTTTGATAATTAGATAGGCATCAAATTTCAAATAAAAGACAGGAGATACATTAAGACTCAAAATTAGTACTTTTTATTGTTGATGTATAAGAGACAAGCAAGGTAATCAAGAAATTGATTTGGAAAATCCACATTAACAATTAACAATTTTAGCATTTCCTTTTCAAGATAAAATATCATAAACAAATACTAAACAGTGTGTTTTTAAATGTATTGATTATAATAAATTTCACTTTTATGAAGATTTTAAATAGGTTTCCAAAATACAACATTCTTGAGATTTAAATAATGGACGCAAATCACCTCCTTTATAATCTATAAATTCACCTTTTAGGATTATGGTTCCTTGTGTTTTTAATTTTTGAATTTAAGAAATTGTTATAATTGGAACATTTAGGGCGGCTAAAGAATAGTGGAAAAAGGATACCAATTTCTGGAATGACATTATGAGTAAATTTCAAAGGTTTAAATAATGCTAGAATATCTGTTTCTCGAATATGTAAATCAGATGCTTTATAAATATATAAAAAATTTATATTTCCTATATAAACATCCAATGAATATAAAAGGATGTAGTCATCTCTACTACTTCTAAATGTTAATTTAGTACCATCAGGAGAGTAATTGACTGAATAAACATTACCTTTAAAACCATCAAATTTTGCTTTTTCTAATCCTGTCTTAACATTCCATAAATGTATAGAGTTACCTGATCCAGATGCTAATGTAGTACCATCAGGAGAGAAACATACTTACAGAATTCCTTTTGAATGACCATCTAATTTGGCTTTAAGTTATCCTGTCTTAACTTCCCATAAACAAATAGAGTTATTCGAACACTCTGATGCTAATATAGTGCTATCAGGAGAGAAACAAAATAAATTAACACAATTTTCATTATTTTCTAATTTTAACTTTTATTAACCTATCTTAATATCCCATAAACTGATAGAGTTATCATAACCAATAGATGCTAATGTAGTACCATCAGGAGATAAGCATATTTATAGAATTCCCTTTGACTAGCCTTCCTTTTAAACTGTCTTAACATCCCATAAATGGATAGACTTATCATCACCACTAGAAGCTAATTTAGTACCATCAGGAGAGAAGCATATTTATAGAATTCTCTCTGAATGACCATTTAATTTGCATTTTTATTATGTTGTCTTAACATCCCATAAATAGATAGAGTTATCATCAACACTAGATGCTAATGTATTACCATCAGGAGAGAAGCACAATTATAAAATTCTCGTTGAATAACAATGTAATTTTGCTTTTTATTATACTATCTTAACATCCCATAAATGGATAAAGTAATCATAACCACTAGATGCTAATGTAGTACCATCAGGAGAAAAGCATATTTACAGACATCCCTTATAAATACCATCTAATTTGGCTTTTTATTATTCTGTTTTAACATCCCATAAATGGATAGACCCATCATAACTAACAGATGCTAATATAGTACCATCTGGAGAGAAACATACATATGGAATTCCCGTTTTATGACCATCTAATTTTGCTTTTTATTATCCTGTCTTAACATCCCATAAGCGTATAGATGGATCATAACTACTAGATGCTAATATGAGACCATCTGGGGAGAAGCAGATTGAATGAATCGAACTCGTATGACCATCTAATTTGGCTTTTTATTATCCTGCCTTAACATCCCATAAACAGATAAACTTACCATTATAAGACGCTAATGTATTACCATCAGGAGAGAAACAAACTGATTTAACCTAATTTGAATGACCTTCTAATTTGCTAATTTATTATCCTGTCTAAACACTCCATAAACGAATAGAATTATCAGAACTACCAGATGCTAATGTATTACAATCAGGAGAGAAACAGACTGAATTAATCTAGCTCGTATGACCATCCAATTTGGCTTTTTATTATCCTGTCTCAACATCCCATAAACTGATAGATCTATCATGAATTCCAGATGCTAATGTAGTGCCATCAGAAGAGAAACAGACTGTATAAACACCACCAGAATGACCATCTAGTTTAGTTTGTTATTATACTGACTTAACATCCCATAAATGGATAGAGTCATCATAACCAATAGATGCTAATGTATTACCATCAGGAGAAAAGCATATTTACAGAAATCCCTTTTAAATACCATCTAATTTGGCTTTTTATTCTTCTGTCTTAATATCCCATAAACAGATAGATTTATCATAACTAACAGATGCTAATATGAGACCATCAGGAGAGAAACATACTTATGAAATTCCCGCTTTATGACCATCTAATTTGGCTTTAAATTATCCTGTCTTAGCATCCCATATATGGATAGACTAATCATAACCACCAGATGCTAATGTAGTACAATCAGGAGAGAAACAGACTGAGTTAATCCAACTATTATGACCATATAATTTGGCTATTTGTTATCCTGTCTAAACAACCCATAAACAGATAGACTAATCATTACTACCTGATGCTAATTTTTAACCATCAGGAGAGAAGCAAACGGAATTAACACAACTAGTATGTCCATCGAATTTGGCTTTTTGTTATTCTGTCTTAACGTCCCATAAACGAACAGAGTTATCTCCACTACTGTACGCTACTGTTGTTCCATCAGGAGAGAAACAAACAGATCTAGCAGACAAATTATCAACATCTAATTTGACTTTTTATTATCCTGTCTTTACATCCCATAAACGGATCGAATTATCAATACTCCCAGATGCTAATGTATTACCATCTGGCGAGTAACAGACTGACAGAATTTAATTAGAGTGACCACCTAATTTAAATACCTCATGTACTCTTATATTCTTCCATTTACAATTAAACAACTAAGCACTATTTAAGTTTATTCCACTAATGTCAACATTATCAAAAATTGATCCATTGAAATTGCATCTTATGAAATTTCCACCTTTTAAAGAAGTATTTTAAATCTTGACATTTTCAAAACTTTGCTCTCTCATATCAACCTTCATCTCTATTAATAAATTGAGTGAATTCGAACCACATTAGATAAATCTTTTATCAAAAGCTGTTAGTTGAACTAAGAATTTTAGAAATTTTATTATTTCCATTTTATTATTTATTCTATTAATTAAATCCTTTCTGATTTATTCAAATTATTATGAGGAGTAATTCTGCTTATTAAAGTCGATTTCACAAATATTTTCTAAAAGATTTGCTATTAACCGATTGTTTTGATCATTCGAATTCTTTAAAAGAAAATCTAAACAATCATAAATTTACTTTTTTTTCAAATTTTCAAGAATAAAACCAAATATTCCTTCATCAATATCTATCACCTACACTAGTACTTCATACAAATCTACCTTTTATTCATAATCATTTTCGAGCTCATGAATTACTTAATCAATACTTATTCTTTTCACATCTTTGTTCAATTTTAATTTATTATCTAATCTTTGAACAATCATATTTTATAATAATTTTTTTTACCATTATTCCAAATTTTTATCTTTTCCTATTATTTCATTAATTTATATTTGCTTTAATTAAGGTAGTTCATTAATTATTTCATGCACTTTCTTCTTTTAAAAAAATTCCTAATCTAGAAACATTTAATAAAAAATCATTCCCAAAGACCAAATATCTACTGAAGAATCATAATCTGAGCTGACCAAAATTTCAGGAGCCATAAATTAATATGTACCGACCTCTGTAGTTTGAGTTTTCTCCTCGGTGGGTTTTGAAATGCCAAAATCTATCAATTTGATTTTATTATCTTTGCCCATTACAAAATTAGCTGGCTTCAAATCTCGATGATAAAATCCTAATTTATGGAATTCAGAAACACCTTTTGCCATCTAAATTATTGAAAATTTTACTTGTAAGCAAATCTATTTCTTATTTTACAGGTTTTTGAAATTTAAACAATCTCCAAGCTCCATAACTGTAAAAACAGTGTCATCAATCTTTTCTTCAAAGGCAATGATTTAAATTATATGTTCAAATTG